TCAACAAAGAAAAAGAGTCAAAATCGACCCAGAGGGACGGTATGTGAAAATTCATTTTTCGTTTAATAATAATAGCATAGTTTTAGTATAGTTAATTTAATACTTAAGCTATATATCATGGTTTGGTTTTAAATTACGTTAGATGAGCGGTCAACAGCAAAGTGATAAGATTATCAGAAGACAGGTTGGATTTGCTTTTAGTAACATTACCATTTACCACGTTCACTTACCATATTTAATTTCTGAATAAATGTGTTTAGACCCTTCCAGCAAACATTGCGGCACCTCAACAATTGGCTGCACTAACACTTCCTCCGATGAATGTACAACCATTATCAACCGTGAAAATACCCAAAAGCGTAAATCCGAACCTTAAGGCAAAAACCCCGACTTCTGAGCACCCCCGATCCGGATTGAGAATACCGACTACTCCAACAGCTTCCGCAAATACATTTACAAAACTTCCTACACCTACAGGAATACAATCCAGAATAATAAAGAGTGGGAGTGGAATAGCATCACCTAGCAAAGTAAATTCTCGAGCTGTACCGGTTTCACCGAATAGATCATACGGCTATGCTAGTCAGAAATCGATAAGTTCTAATTCGACATTGAATACATATGGTTCATCAACGACGACGATGGTAATAACGGGTAGAAAAAGTGCTACAACCCCTTGCAAAACATCAACTTCCGTTGACAAAGGTAAGAAAATTTTTTTAAATAAATAAAAAAAAAAAAATATCCTCCATTTGTTTAAAACGTATTCAAACTCTGTCAACTAACATCCTCATACTTGTAATATATAGCACATGCTAGTAATGAAAAAGTTTCATCAAAAAGCAAGCCGAGAAGGCTATCAAACTCTTTTATAAATCTTTTCTCGAACAAAAATTCGCACTCGTCCGCTTCATCTCATGCAAAAACGATTCCGATAACATCAAGCGCGGCTTCTACCTCAAGTACAACGACAACTCATTCAAATCTTCAACCAAAGAAGCTGAAGGTCAGAACGAATTCTCAACCTGCGCACCCTGTTATTTCGAACCATTTAAGCGCTTATGTTTCGAAGAACACAACCGGTTCTTCTTACCATATGGATTTGGACTCCTCATCATCTGCTGCCAGTACTCCAAGCAACTTTGCTCATACGAGCCAGGACGACGAATTCACTGTAACGAGTGGGGAAGAGGAAACTACCAGTTTCTTACATGAAACCGAAAAGAAAGAGAGAGATCGCAAAGAACATGAGAGGGAACGTAAAGAACATGAGACACAAATGAAGGGAACCCTTCCTATGAGTCCCCAATCCGCTTTGAAATCGTATGCACCTTACTTGTCTTTATACGAACGTTCAGAAATTTTGGAGTATCCGAATGTTTATTTTGTTGGCCCTGAAGCTGCAAAAGCACCTGCAAGCCCGGAGTTAACCGGATGTAATTACGGATTTGATGACGAAAGAGGCGACTACAAAATTATTCCCAAAGACCATTTGTGTTATCGATATGAAGTTGTTGACACCCTTGGAAAAGGTTCCTTCGGCCAGGTGCTGAAGTGTTTGGATCACAAGACGGGAGAATACGTAGCTGTGAAGATTATCAGAAATAAGAAGCGATTTCACTGCCAAGCCTTGGTGGAAGTTAAGATTTTGGAATGCTTGAACAAATGGGTATGTGTTAAGCATTGAATAAAGAAATCGTGGATTTATGTGGTTTTTTTTAAAGGATTTTTCAGAATTAACCTTTTTTTTTTTTAATAAAAAAAAGGATCCCGATGACACACACAATATCATTCATATGAATGATCATTTTTATTTCCGAAACCATCTATGTATCGCATTCGAGCTCTTAAGTATTAATTTGTATGAATTTATCAAGAGCAGTAACTTCCAAGGATTCAGCCTTGGCTTGATTAAAAGGTATGAGATTATTCAACAGATCAGAAGAAGAAAAAACGTCATGATAACCTACCTATTTAATGAATAAAATTACAGATTTTGCGTCCAGCTTCTTAACTCCTTGTCGTTATTACAAAGACATAACATCGTACACTGTGACTTGAAGCCAGAGGTGAATTTAATCTCCTTGAATTTTCTTAAATTGCAAGATCTTTGCTAAATTATCTCCTATTTGTCTAGAATGTGCTGCTAAAACATCCTACAAAGAGCAGCATTAAAGTTATTGATTTTGGTAGCAGTTGTTTCGAGAATGAAAAGGTCTACACGTACATTCAAAGTAGATTTTACCGATCTCCTGAAGTCATATTAGGTATGACATATAATATGGCGATCGATATGTGGAGCTTAGGTTGTATTCTAGCTGAACTGTATACTGGTAAGTAAATTACTCTATACTTTAATTTTGATAAATAATTTTAATACCTAATCCTTTTTTTTTTTTTTTAATACAACAGGATATCCTTTGTTCCCCGGTGAAAATGAGCAAGAGCAACTGGCATGCATTATGGAAGTTTTGGGCGTCCCAGAGAAGTATTTGATAGAAAAAAGTACTCGCAAAAAACTCTTTTTCGGTAAGAAAACTCGATTGTTTACAGTTTACTTAATTTGAAAATCAAATGATCCGTATTCGAAAAGCTGAATCGTTATTATAATAGATTCCAATGGCAACCCCCGCCCTGTTGTTAGTTCTAAAGGGAAGCGTCGTCGTCCAAGCACAAAATCATTGGCGAACGTCTTGAAATGCCAAGACCAAGTCTTTTTAGATTTTATCGCTCGGTGTTTAGACTGGGATCCCGAGAAGCGAATGAAGCCTGATGAAGGTTTAATGCACGAGTGGATCACGGAGGTGAAACTTGGCGTAAGTATATCTATCAGCTTAAATTTTTGTCTGATTGTAACATGGTTATTAAATTTTAATCATTTAACTATGTTTTAGACAAGGAGCTACTTCACAAATTATGAGAATACGCATCGTCAAGCATCTCCCTCCTCGGCTCCTGCATCCAATAGCGCCGCTTCTGGACGGTATACATACGCGCCCTTAAGTGGGTCGAATGTGGTAGGTTTTTGTGGCGGAGATAAATATGATATATCAAGCAGTGAAGCAGCAGAATTTCCCGAAAAAAAGGAAAGGGTAAGGTTAAGTTTGCTGACATTCCGATACCGGAGTTTTTTTAGGATGATGGATTATCCTCTGCGGATAATTCTTAGGAATTATCCTCAGATGGTGGTTCCAATCCTTTTGGTGAAAAAAGAATGTCGTCCTGGTGAAGTCAATAATTTTGTTTTTGTGTCAGCATTGGTATTGCAGTGGATTGTGGCCGCCTTTCGTGTCACACTGCGGATTTATCAACTGCGGCCTTTGTTTTCAGTTAATTTCTTGCTTCTTTTTATTTGGGAAAATATATATATACATATATATGCCGTTTCCTGCTTGATTATATACTTCCTTTTACTAAGAAAAAAAGTTTTATTTAAAAAGAACGATTTTGCAGTTGAAATTGTAACTAAATTCTTATTTTTTTTATTTATCTATTTTTCTTTTTTTGTGCTCGTTATTTGTTTCTTTTCACAAAAATTTTCAGTTAAAAACGCGAAGGGTTATTTCATAAGTTTTCCAATTTCATCTAAGATTATATATAAGTAATTATATATAAACCTTTCCGTGAACTCAAGGAGTAAGGTTACGAAAATTGAGGTCTGAAAAAAAACCGCTATACCTCATCATGGATACTTCTTGGCCTTCCTCCTTTGCGAGAATTTTTTAAGATCTATTTTCAAAAATCATTGTTACAAGTTTAATATGCCGAGTATGCAAAACATGAACTAGAGACACCTAAGCAAACTAAAATATACATTACATATACCATCAATTCTCTTCAGGAGACAAAAAAAAAAAAAAAAAAACACTATATAATTTATTTAGTTAGTATAAAAAAAGAAAATTCCTCATAGTAATGAATGATTGATTTCATGGCTATTATTTATGAATCATTCAATATTAATTAAAGTAAGTTTAGGAAGAGGAGAAAGATAGAGAGGATAGTGTAAAAATCAAATGTACATCAAGATTTAAAAAATGTGTTGGAAACGATAGTAGTTAGAGTGGTTTCTTTTTTTTTTTTTCTTTTTCAAAATTAAAATAATTTTTTTTTGGCATTCAAAAAAAAAATATATATATATATATGTATATATATTTAAAAAAAAAATATTTCGATAATGATTGAAGTAGTTTTTTCTTGAACTGTAATTATTATTAATTTTTTTTTTTTTTTTTTTGTAATTTTATTTTTTTTTTTTTTTTGTTGTAAAATTTTTTGATGTTTTGAATTGAATTTTTAAAGGATATTTTCATGTATCATCATTTCGTTATTTAAAAGACACTTTATAACTATTTATTATAAAATTCTTTTTTTTAAAAAAAAAAAATGCATAATTATAAAAAATTTTCAATACATGTAAATAAAAATGAAAAAAAAAAAAAATCTAGTATTTATTATCAATTATTTTATTAATTACAAAAATATAAATTTGATTTTTTATAAAATATTTATTTATATTTTTAATTATAAAATATCAATATAAAAAAAGTATATCAATCAGTGGTCATGTCAGGGATCGGCAGTGATCGGCATGGGGAGTTAATTTTAATTAGATGATCGACATCTATAATCCATACATTTGTAAAAATCATTTTTTTTGTTAAATAAAAAATCTTACATAATAAAGTATGCTAAAATTTTACACGTGACCTAATGCTATTTCGAAGCTATAGTATATTAATTTTTATCATCATTGGATAAATATTGAACAACTTTTATTAGAAGCATATTTTTATGAAACGAAAAATTGTCAAACTTCAATTGTATTTTAACGTGAAAAATGTTGTTTCACCATAACCTGTAACACTATGATATGTGAAACAAGAAGACTTAAAGTAGATATTTTCGTCTCCCTACGGACAAAAAAGAGTGTCAGTAACTTGCATCTCTACAATCTACTTTGACTATTTTTTGTCAAAGGAAAAAAATTCAAATCACTAATGTCAGAACAAAGCTGTGAAATTTCTTCCCCTTTGCGTTCTCTACTTTCTATAAACTTGTTTGAAGACAAAATAAGCAGTAATGACAAGTTTGGACACATGTTTGATGAAATATCTAATAATACTAGTGATATATATTTTAAAGACTTTGAAGAAAACAAGGAAAATGGTTGTGAAACACTTGAACAAGATAAAGTTATAGATAATTTGGAACA